CATCAAACTAACAGCAGACTTCTCAACTGAAACCCTACAGGCCAGAAGAAAGTGGAACAATGTATTCAAAATACTGAAAGAAAAAAATTGCCAGCCAAGAATTCTTTACCCAGCAAGGCTCTTCTTCAAAAATGAGGAAGAAATAGTGTATTTCCCAGACAGACAAAAGTTGTGAAAGTTCACCACCTCATCACCAGCTCTGCAAGAAATTCTCAAGGGAGTCATTCATTTGGATTCTGAATAATGGCGACCATCATCATGAATACACAAGAAAGAGCAAAACCCACAGTTAAAACAAAAATGCCAGCAGGAAAGAGAAAGAAGCTAAACCATTCCACCTTAAATCCTGAACTCACCCTGAAGAAGAGAAATAAAAGAGGAAATAATGGTCAAAAGATATTTAAACCAGCTAAATAGCAATTAAATGACAGGAATTAAACAACACTTCTCAATTACTGCTCTAAATATGAATGGACTAAACGCCCCGTTCAAAAGACACAGACTAACTGGCTGGATTATAAAGATAGACCCAAGTATATGCTGTCTTCAAGAGACCCACCTCATGTGTAAAGACACTCATAGACTAAAAGTGAAGGGATGGAAAAAGATATACCATGCAAATGGAAACCAAAAACAAGCAGGAGTAGCTACTCATATATCAGACAAAATAGACTTTAAACCAAAAAACATTAAAAAAAGACAAAGAAGGCCATTATATAATGATAAAGGGAACTATCCAGCTAGAAGATGTAACAATCATAAACATGTATGTACCCAATACCAGAGCACAAAGATATATCAAGCAAACACTCTTAGGCCTAAAGAAGGAGATAGGTCCTAATACATGAATAGTGGGTGATCTGAACACCCCTCTCTCAGTATGGGACAGGACTTCCAGGCAACAAGTCAACAAAGAGACACAGGATTTAGGTCTACACCCTAGACCAACTGGACTTGGCAGATAGACACAGAACATTTCACCCAAGAGCTAAAGAATACACTTTCTTCTCATCAGCTCATGGTACATTCTCCAGAATAGACCACATATTAGGTCACAAATCTAGTCTCAGCAAGTTTTAAAAATTGAAATAATTCCAACAATCTTTTCAGACCACAATGGACTAAAAATGGAGATAAACAATAAGCAAATCGCTGGAAGATATACAAATACATGGAAAATAAATAAAAGGCTCCTGAATGACCTATGGGTCCAAGAAGAAATTAAACAGGAAATCAAAACATTTCTAGAAACTAATGAAAATAAAAATAGATCATAGCAAAACTTGTGGGATACTGCAAAAGCAGTACTGGGCTGAGCCCGTGGCGCACTCGGGAGAGTGCGGCGCTGGGAGCGCAGCAGCGCTCC